GCATCAGCTCCTGCCTCCAGGTTCCTGCTCAGTTTGAGTCCCTGCCTTGGCTTCCCTCCGTGGACTGACTCAGGAGCTGTAAGCCAGATAAAGTCATGTTTGGTGATAGTGTTTCATCACAGCAATAGTAACCCTAACGGAGACATTACAATTAGTTATTTCATAATTTAGAGTTCTCACAGCCCCAAGCCCTAACGTGCTCCACATACAAGCAGACCAAACCACAGGTTAGGCCTAAGCATGTCTGGCAGCGCTAATTCTTCCCCCATGTCCGCTGGGAATTTAAAATGTGGAACTAACGCTGAAAGATCACGCACCCAAGGGTGTCAATCGATGCACAGCCCTGCCGCTCTACACACCGCCTGATCTCAGGAAGTCCCTCCCACAAGCCTCCCTATGGAAAGAGCTTCTGTTGTTTGATCTTAACCAGCAGCGTGTGTGTGTGTGTGTGTGTGTGTGTGTGTGTGTGTGTGTGTGTGTGTGTGTGATGCGCGCGCTACAGCAGATGATCATAAATGTATTGGCTTAAAGCAATGTAAGCTGCTCTTCAGTGCTGAGGGCCCACAGCCAAGTGAGTTCTTGAGGAGGAAGACCAAGAGATCGGCGGGCCGCAGCGCTTCTGCTTCCCCAGGCTCTGGGGACCAACCCCCTCATTTCTCCACGTTCACAGGCTGGAGGCTGTCCTCGGTGTGTAGCCACTGCGGCCACTTCCCACACTGGTATCGCTGAGCCTGGGCCTCCTTCCCACGGCCTCTGCCTGGGGCTCCTGATGCCGTCTTAGAAGCCACTTGGGTAATTAGCATTATCTCCCCACCCCAAGAGCCTTATGATGGAGTCATGTCTGCGCACTCTTCTTGGCTGTGGGACTCATTGTCTGGTTCCAGGCGTGGTTGTGATGTGGGTTTTGGTTTTGTTTTGGAAGCGCTGGGTGTAGAACCCCAGGGCCTTGCGCATGGCAAGCAAGTATTCCACCACGAACCGCATCCTCAGACTCCATCTCTCAGGCTTCACCACCTTAGCCCTCAGCCCCCCTTTTGTTCAGGGTTAGGGGCAGAACCCGAGGCCTTGCGCATGCTCACAGCTGCTCAACCGCTGAGTTCTGTGCCAGACCAGGGCCCCTTTGAGCTATTAGCTAACCTATTACAGAGGTCCAGGGACGTGTAAGTGACTCCTGAGGAGCATATATCAGGAAGTACTGAGCTGGCAGCTAAACCAGGCCTTTCTAGTTTTCTGCTTGAACTCACACTGTGGGTCCTAAACCCATTGCACGGAGTTTGTCCCCACACAATACGACTCCACTCAATCATCTCTATGTAAGGGGCTCCCCAGCCTGAGCTGCAGGGTCCCCTCAGGGTTTGCTGAGTTAGCAGCTGGATGAGCAAGACCCTTCTCCTGCCCCACACCTGTGTGGAAGATGCTTTCTAAGTCTCAGAGGGCCCTGATCCCAGACCCAGGGCCCCTCCTTTCTCGGTGCATGCTGGTCCTTCTAAGCCTCCAGGCCTGAAATAGGGAGCTCTTCCTCCAAGGGATGAGGGCATCCTACGGAGATGCTGAAGACAGGAGATATCTGGGTTTCACCCCAGAGCATTGAGTACTTAGCTAGCTCTTCCCAGAAATCATTGCCATTGAACCCAGGGACCCAAAGCCTCACAGCTACCTCAGTGACTTCCCTAGTCCCAGTCTTTGAAGCTCCCTTCCTGGAGTGCAATAGAGTCCTGCCCCCAAATCTACCCTTCACTTCTTGATTTAGGGCCTTCTAAACAGCATTTCTGTCCCCTGGCCACAGTCGCCCACCCACAGCCAGGCCCTCAGCATCCACAAATGGCAAAGCCAATTACTGTTCCCTTGCTCTAGTCCTAGCCAGACAGAGGTTACTGTAAGTCACATCGGAATTGGGAAGGAGGGAGGGAGGGAGGGTGAGCCACCACCTGAGGACGACAGTGCCTGGGCTGACACTTGAAGATGGATGTGACAGGGACTTGTGGCTTGGAGGCTCAGGATTAGATCAACAAGGTTGGGGCCGGCTGGTTCCTGGAAAAAGGTCATGTGGACACGGTTTGACAGACAGCTCAAGCGAAGCCAAGGTTTCAGGCTGGCCTTCCCTGAGCAGAGGAGGCACCAGGGCTGATGGCCCAGTCCAGAGAAGACCTGAAGTCCTTGCTCTCTCTTGGGCACTGGCATTTTGCCAGGAGCTCCCCGAGGCCAATGCCATCATGTCCAAGAACTCAACAACTGCAGCTCTCGCGGGGAGGGGGAGGGTATCTTCCATGCCTGGCTCAGATGTCTTTTAAGCAAGTATTCAAGGTTTCTCTCTCTCTCTCCTGCTTAGGAGAGAGACTACATTCAATGATAAGCCACTTGTAGCTGAATTGGGGTACCCAACTCAGGACCAGACGGTCTTGGGGCCCACAGTCTCCTGCTGATCAGGGTCTTATAGTGAAGAACAGAGATCTGCCACCTTGAGGAGTCCCTCCTGACTCTTGTCATGGGAAGCAGCCATCTCGGGGGTACAAAGGAATAAAGGGGGAGAAGTGGGCAACTGGAGATTCCTGGTCAGGGGGGCTGGGACGGGTACTACAATCCTGGATGTTCTCCGTGGGTTTAAGGGAACAGCAGTCAGGTTTCCTCCACACACAAGGACAAATGCACTCCCAATGTTCACTGACTTGGGAGAATGGAGGCTCTTTGCTCACTGAAAACCATGGTGTCGAGGGGCCTTGGAATCCACAGCTCTGAGCTAAAGAGTCAGCGCAGAGCCTGAGCGGCCCACCGCCCACGCAGGGATCTGTGCCTTCCGCATCCCTGGCTGCACCTTGCCCGAAGCAGCTGTGAGTTGAGTGTCCTTGCATGATCAGCCTCCCATCCCCCCACACGCTGCAGCCTCCTCTGGGACCCCTATGTGGCAAATGGTTGCAGCTCCAGATTGGGGGTGGGGTGGGCAGAATGTGGAAGGGTGAGTCATCACCATGGGAGCAGACTGCTGAGTTCCACATTCACACGCTCGCAAGGCTGTGGACACAAAGGCCCACACTCACATTCCCAAACTCACAGGGAAACAAGCTGAGAGGCCACTGCTGGTCAAACCCACAGATGCACGTTGAGACCCCACAGACACA